CCTATTAATTACAAGTTGTCGCGGAAAAAACTTCGATAGGATACCTGCCGAAATGTAGAGATATATCGAAACGGCAAAAACGCAACACCGTGGAAAAGTAATGGAATAATAGATGAGAGGATATGGAACTGAAAGCTTGAAAAGGAAGTAGAGGATGTGGAAAGAAGCCACGAGTGATTCACTGCACCGTAGTTCACACATTTATATTCAACCAGAACTGGAGGAAGTCTTCATTAAGATCATGCATGTTCCCATGTCTTGCCGGTTCACGTCCCGGTGGGGGCACCGGAATCTTTCTGCGTGGAGTTTGCATGTTCTCCCCGTGCAGCGTGGGTTCTCTCCGGGTTTTCCGGCTTCCTCCCACAAACATGTTGAGGTTAATTGGTGATTCTAAATTGTCCTTAGGTGTGAATGTGAGTGTGCTTGGTTGTCTGTCTCTAAGTGTAGCCCTGTGATAGACTGGTTACCTGTCCAGGGTGTCCCCTGCCTTCACCCTGAGTCAGCTGGGATAGACTCCAGCCCCCCACGACCCTAGTGAGGATTAAGCGGTGTATAGATAATGGATGGATGGATGTTCCCGTGTCCGTGGCTTTTACTCCTTCTGAGGGGCATTCATTTATAACCGGTGTTGTCGATTGGCATTATTTTTTCTAGTTGCCGACCAGGCCTCTCATTTTGTCGCCATAAAAGCTACACTGTGCTTGTGAGAGGCAAAAAAAAAAGCTCTTGGCACACCCACTCCGCCTGTAGAGAGTGAAAGGAGAGCCCTGCACACACACTGAGTCCCGCTGTCGCACAGCAAGGAGACTCGCAGGAGAAACCGCTTCTATTAAAACACTGTCGTCCTCAAAGTCCTGATAGCATTAAAACACTGTGTAGCATCATTTTTAGGGAAAGGATGCTCTTCTGGTATCAGCATACCGTATAATACTGCTACCAGTTGGATCTCATGGAGGGAAAAAAATACCTCAAAACCAATGTTCAAATTCCAGACCGCGATCTGGCTCCAGATCGAACTGCAAATGAATGTGGACCAGATGTTTCACATTACATTATCTGAGGATCTATTTTCTTGTTTTTTAGAGCTGCTGGCTTGATTATCCCCAGAAACTCATTACAGGATGAGAGTAGTTGTGCACTCGCCCATTTCTGTATGCGCGAAGAAAAGGAAAATTGATCGAGACAACAGAAAATTCAAAGATGAATAGACCAACAAATGCTTTTTTTCCCTTCTTTTCCTCCTCTTACACCTGCTCATGCTGAAGCTGCTGACCAGTAAACACCGAGGCCGATGATTTGAGTCGCAATCACACTTCTCCTTGGACCCGGTTTATGTCAGTGATTACTGAGTCAAGCCACAGCGCTGTTTTGTCGAATGTGTGTAGTTACAATTAAAGAGCCCATCTGGTGAAAATCCTGCTGTTGTTTTTTTTATTTTTTTGTACCTCGTTAACATGTCTCTATGGTATTTTTGAAACGCTAGGAGACGCATCAGAAGTGAAACACAAGTCTGGGTTTTTATATGCAACAAATCAAATGCAGGGTTTTTAAATCATTATTATTCTTCAGAATCGGTTTCCGGTTCGAACATGTACGTGTAGTTTAGTAGGATGGTGTAGGTTTACAGTGGTTGAGCAGAGCTGCAGGTGAGCTGGTGTGCTGGAGCTGCAACAAGTGGTGGAGGGTGGGTGGAGATAGAGGCGGATAGATCTGCTCATGTTTAAGGGAATGGTTGTGTAGTTGCATCTAGGCTGTTTTAAGACAGGAAAGGATGATGTTTTCTGAAAAAATAAAAATTACATCTAAATATGTAACTGTGATACCCAGATGTGTTTTAGTGGTTTAATCAGCGCTCAGAGAGAAACCAGGC